TGACATGACAACCGGGGCTGGTTTTGGTGATAGCCATTGGTGCTTGTGCTTAACGTGTATCATATAATAGTCCAAGTTTTATCAGAAGTAACAAATGATTTCCAAAAATCATGCGCTTTTGCTTTTTGAATCAAAATTGAACAAGTGTTCATACGGGCAATCTTGCGATTCATGTGAGACCCATTTTTTGCATCTGTTTCACTTTCCAATCAAATGTAAATGCTCTTCAATGGTGCTATGATGAACATTGAACATACTTCGACAACTCCCGAGTGGTGCAAGGGGGATGTCTCTCCATAATTAGAAAAAGTTGAGACTCATCCAGCTTTCGAGGACGTCCTTTGTGATGCTCATCTTCTAGGCTCGTTTCCACTTTGAAATCGCTCAAACCATCGATAACATTGGCTTTTGCTAATACTATCTTCGCCATAGGCCTTTGAAATAGAATCATGCGATTCACGGGCAGATTTCCAAGCCGAAGTCATAGGGTAAAGCAGCTCGAATAAGGAATTTTTGTTCCGTCATTTTTTGATGGTCAAATGAAGAAGGTCATTTTCGAATAATATTATGATTGTGTAAGCAAACACACTCTGCTTCTCTATTACTATCGCGGTTTTCTCTGTTTGTCGGCTGTTACTTTCCCAAGAGCACAAGGTACCAATCGCATTATTTTCCCGCCAACCTACACATTAATTATCTATTATTTAACACTTATATCTTCTATAGAAATATCGAAATCTTATTACTATTATCTATTTAATCCTTTATCTATATCTGGCTGCTTGTACTTTGTGCTCTGGCAAATGCACGTCCCTGGCGAACTAGATTCTGCTGGATTTTCCTCAGAAAACCGGATTGTGATTGCAAAACAAATAAAGAGCTCAGTACGCTAAATAGCGTCCGTTTGAAAGCACAAAGTACTCGCAAAAATTTCCCATTTCCTCATGGAGCTTTTACCTCATCTGCTTGCACAGAGCTTTTTTAAAAATTGACACAATTTCTACATTTCTATAATACTTTGCCAAAAAAATGACATAATTTACTAATTTTATTGCATTCTTTCTGTGCAATACACTCGATTCAGGAAATGAAATTGTTGTTGAAAATTGAATGACGGTGATTTTTCTTCTAAACTGCGTGGTACTTTTTGCATGAGTTTTTTCAATAAAGATTTTATGTTAAAAAGATTTATTTTAAAATCATAAAGTTCTAGGGTACTTTTGTGCTTAAACACTTAAAAAGTATAAACACAGCCTTTATAGGTCAATTTAGGTATCTCCCGAGCTGCACTCAAATCGATGAAAAAGACACATGATCGGGGAATGATGAAATTTAAGGCAAAATTGAAGGATTTTGATGAGATTCTCTAATAGAAATGATCACATTCGATCTTTTTTTCCATGAAGTTATTTGACGAGATTTACGTAGAAGAAATTTTCTGTATGGCTCAGTGAAAATCCAAATGGAAAGTGAGGAAATTGCGGCATGAGAGCTGTCGATGAAGAGGGCCATGTTGACGACATCTGGAAGCTCTTCATCCAACTATTTTATTCAAAAATTTGAAAAATTCAGAGATCCTAGGTCAGACTAGAGTCCACTTGCTCTTCTGTTATTTCTTGTCTTAATGCCAGTTTCAAATCGAACTCTTGGATAGGGGTGAGCCAGACTAGGCCAGGCCAGGTCAAAGCCAGACTAGAATCCAGGTCTATACTTCTTTATCTCAATACCAGGAATGTTCTAGCTCTAAGCCAAGTCAGTAAGCCGGCCTAGGTTAGGCCAGACCGGCTAGGCTAGGTCAGGTCAGAGTCAAACTAGAACGGGTTCCTTTGGTGGACTAGGCTAGGTAAAGCTAGGTTAGCCAGGCCAAAATGGCTCTGCAACATCTCCGCTAGTGCGCATTGAGCTATTCTATTGTACAATCTCAGCGTTTGGCGGTGAAAAACATTGACAAACCTTGTGGTATAATATTTTGTGTAACCACGAGAAAAGCGTACAACACCCATGGAATAGCTATCGTAAAAAAATGGGACAAAAATCTAAACGAAATGGTGATTAAAGGAGAAGAATGAGAAAGAAACCTGTAACAACAGTGCCATCAATAACTTTTTGTGTAAACGCCTCGTTTTCTCGCTCAGATCAACGTGGCCATCAAGAAGGTATAAAGAATGGGAAAAGAAAAAGAATGCCTGTATAAATCATGTACAGTTTACAGTACCATCTATGCATCCATATTTCAACATTTCCGCTCAACTTTCAAGCGGATTCTAAAGTCTGAGCCAAGCCTAGCTTCTAGAGAACCATGAGACAGCAAAGTCTGACATTGTCATTGACCTGGCCTAGGCTTTGAGCCTGTCCTGTCTCTGTCTTGGGCCAAAAATTCTGTAATCTAGCTGCGAACTTAAGTTTAGAGTTTTACATAGTACATGTTACTCTCAAAAATGACCCACTGCTCCCAAAATCTCGATCGCTAGCAGCCCAATTAAGGCAAAAATTGCATAAATTGTAGTGAAATTGGGAACTCCCGGAATAAAAGGATACCAAAAGCAACCCATGTATCATGTTGATCTCTCACAAATTCATACGCTGGATATTTCTGTAAGCATATTGTCATTTAGAAATGTTTTCTAGAAGTACTGTTAGTGTGCTATAATAGTTAAAAATTGGAAACTTAGGCTTGGGAAAAAGCTCAAGAAAAATCACTTGCAACAATTGAGGTAGCTCAAGAAAAATCACCTGCAACAATTGAGGCAAACCTTTAGCATTCGGCGATAACTCCATATCGGTTAATTGGAAAAGAATAAGAAACCAAATTGTGTAAAAAATATAATGAAAAAAAGCAATCAATATCCATGTTCTTTTTTTGAATCTAGAATTGAAGGCAAGTGGAAGTACAGGGGAAGCACAGCCTTTCTAGCACTCAGCTCACAATGAGTGTACCAGAAAGGGTGTGTTTGCAAATGGAAAAACTCTCACCGAAGCCAGTGATCTTGTGGTAGAACCTGTCGATGACGGTAGAGAATGCATTGAGCTGTGGCCATGATCATGAACAAAATGCAAACAGCACCAACTAACTGAACAATGGATAATACAATAATAATGAATTCAAATGAAAAGCAAAACGGACAAAAATAGGCTTTAAAGGTATTCCAAATATCGTATAGAAAATGCCGTAAAGTCTTCCAGCTAAAGCAGGGAAATATGGCTCAGCCAAGGCGCTATGCAAAATCAATTCAAGAAGTGTCGACCAAGCCTTGATTTCTTTCATAGATTCATTCAATTCATGTTCTTTGTGGCCTAATAAACGCATACAATCTGGCGTAGCCGATAGTTCATTGTTTGTAAATACCGTAGTTTTTTTTTACCACCGTGAGCCAGAAAGTAAATGTTTACTAGTACAAAGATAACAAAAAGGTTTATTTACCTGATACCACAAAATATGATTCTTATAATATTTCATATTTGGTGGTGAGATAGAAATAATTGCATAAAATGTTAGAAAATTTAACACTGTCCCAAAAACTCCAAAGATATTTGAAACCAAAATATAGACCCTTGGAGTCTCATAACTTATTTGAACAACTTTAGAACTCATTGAAGAGAAATTTTATGATTATTGAAAGCAATTTTGTTAGCCTTTGTGAACAGGTGAAAGTTGAGGACTCGGGAACAATTTTTGAAACCTAAAAACTGGCCGAAAGTCACTTTGTTAGGCCTATAAAGACCAAAAATACGTGTAAAATTTAGAAAAAAATGGTTAGTCATGAATATTTTGTTGTACTTGTTAAGGGAATGAGCATACAGATATTCAGGGCTCAAGCCATAAAATTCAAACAGAAATTTGACTGCCATACCCGACTGTCTAGGAGTCTCAGTCGAGAGGTGAAGGCTTCAATCCATACATCTTCATCGATACATCTTTATCGATACATCTTTATCGATCTTATCCATCGCCGAGGTCTATCTTTCTGTGCCAAACATTAAACTGTTTCTACTTTAGGCGCCTTTTAGAAAAGATTGCCCGCATATGGATGTTTATATGAACCAGATTTGAATCCAGGATAGAGGGAGAATGTGTTAAAGCAAAAAAGTCCAGACATTCATTCAAACCCTTGATTTAGAGGCCATCGCTTTGCCGACTGCACCATAGAGACACGCTGAGTTCCCCATATTTCCTCATATTTCTTCACTTACCGGATTTTTCTATACGATATTTGGAATACCTTTAAAGCCAATTTTTGTGCGTTTTACTTTGTATTTCGATTCATTATTGTATTATCCATTCAGTTCGTTGGCAATGTTTGCATTTTGTTCATGATCATGGCCATAGCTCAATGCATTCTCTACCGTCATCGACAGATTCTACCACAAATTCACTGGCTTCGGTGAGAGTTTTGCCATTTGCAATCACACCCTTTCTGGCACACTGATTGTCAACTGAGTGCTAGAAAGAGTCAGTTAATATTCAAAATTTTTGACTGAATACTTTTTATTGTAAAGAAAAGGTGGAAACGGTGGACTGATTTCGAGCAAACGACTTCCATGTACGCGAATACAACACGTTTTTTAGTAAAGTGTGTGTAAGCATTTTTTAGCAAAAGCAATAGTTAAATGCTAGACGTGCACTGCGAGAGTTAATGAATCACTCATTTTCACTGAATATTTTGCTATTTCAAGGAGAGGTACAAAATATTCAGCCAACAGCAATAGATATGAAAAAGCTCGAGAAGATAATAGGAGATTTTTGGGAGTACTTTGTGCTTTCAAACGCATGCTACCTAGCGCATTGAGCTCTTCATGCGTTCTGCAATAAGAATCCGGTTTTCTGAGGAAAATCTAGCGGAATCTAGTTTGCCAGGAACGTGCATTTGCTAGAGCACAAAGTACAAGCAGCCAGATCTAGAGAAAGTATTCAATAGATAATAGTAATAAGATTTAGAGATTTCTGTAGAACATATAAGTGTTAAATAATAGATAATAGTAATAAGATTGAAATATTTCTATAGAATATATACATCAGCTGGGAGTCGACCTCGTAAACCGCAAATATTCAAGGCGACACATCGCGAGAAGTATGGAGCCCGTTTGAAGCCAAGTTCCTCAAAAAATATAGATGTTTATAGTGAAAAGATTTGCATTTATGTTATTATTTTATAGATATTTAGTTAAGGATACTATTTTCTGAAGATTTTATTGCATTTAAATGGTTCTAAGCGTTTCACAAAGCTGACAATCAGTTAACGAATTCCTAACCATGCCAGCGTTTTCTAAAGCTATGGTAATCTGTAACTTGAGAAAAAAAGTGCCGTAATCAATACTGTTCACTGCTTAAGCCTCTTTTATAACTCCTTTAAGCAATAAATTTCAAATCTCAAAGCTCACCACAAGACTTTTCACAGTGCCCATCAGCTTGGCGATTTTGTAGATCGCGTCGACGTCGTCCTTCAACCTTTGGCGAATTCTCTGGAAACAATTTATGTAAATTATTGAAAGCAACAATCTGCATCAATTTCTGAATAGTTTCCAAAGTTTTCTCACTCACTCGTGACAGCATCCATTCGTATTTCTTGCGCGCTTCACGCACAATCGCCGCGCTCGGCTCGGAAAGGCCATGAGCTGGAAGAATTTGCATATAATTTACATGACTTTTCAAATTGAGTCTATTATTCTACAATGGTTTATCCTTTAAATTTAGATCATTTTATGCTAAGTCTGGTCATCAAATAAGCCAATTCACAGCTTAAACAGTTCTCCGTTCAAAGAAAAGAAGAAAATGAGCTTTAGAAACTCTGCGAAGACCTAGATAAGTATAAAAATTATCATTTTCGATTCAAAAGCAAAATTTAAGACTTAGAATTTTGATTTTAAACGAACCCGAGTGGAAAATGAGGATATTCTTCAACAGAACATAATCCCCGTCATCCATTTGAGTGTCCCGGAAGGCGGGGATCACTTCATTTTGCCCCAAATTGATCATTCGCTCCAAAAAGTCACCAATTCTAGAGAAAAATCATATCTTTGATACAGATTTAACTTGAAAATCAAAACTTACTCATACTTTTTGAGGGCTCTACTGTCTGCACTGAAGGCTTGTCCTAAACCGGCCACCATGCCCGGATTGCCAATCCTGAAACGATTCAATTTATATAATTTTAAAGTTTAGAATTAGGCATACTTATCTACAGCAATCTACAATAGTAAACGATTTCAAATTCCAAACCTGTACGTGTAAGCGAACAAAAGAAAAGGGGAAACGAAGAGGTGCTGTCGTTGCAGAAAAGCACCTGAAAGGATTGAATGTTAAGATTGCAAAAGTTTGCGATCTCTGCTCTCTACTAAAGCAATATAACAAATGACTGTACTTGCTCTTTTGGCGGTAATTGAGAGACTTCAGCCAATCCTCTCACATAATCGATGACATGAAGGAGGAGACGGGAGAATTGACGACCCAAGTTTTGTGAGGGTTCGGCGTTCGAGGAAACGTGGGATAAACCAGCCTGAGAATTTGATGGATGGCTGGATCTTGTTTGGAATTTGCATGCTTTAGCCTGTTTTAGTCCAAATCTCCGAACTGAAAGGTTTTCTAAAAGCTAGAGAAAAGCTATCGTAGGCATTTTGGAAAGCAGGCATTTGTTAACCTCGTAGGACAATAAACAGACTGAAGTTTTGAAAAACCAGGGTTTCGGTTTAATTTAAAAGCTTTTCTATTCAATTCCCCATTTCCCATGTAAACACAGAATCTCTCGAATCACATTGTTCCACAAAATGCTCTCAACAGCTGGCTTTCACCCAGAAATGGGTTCAAGATCTCGATTCATAGCTCTCTTCATTTCCCAGACAAATAGAATTACGGTAGGATTTTCTTTGAAAAACAGAAAGTGTTCAGTGATCGAATTTCGCCGAAAATGGCTGCACAGAATGAGTGGGCTGCGGTAATTGATTTTAAGCGATTTAGATTGATGAAGGAAATTAATAAAATGTCAAAGATAAAGAACGTGGGAGTTGAAAGGAAAGGGAAGGAATGGGAAGGGAAGGGGAAAGGGTAAATAATTGCAATTGCGGCGTTTTCTTCAAAGAATCGAGAACCGAACTACTGAGCGCTACAAAGGACAGAGAGGGCAAAGGAAATATTAATTTGCATAGGAAAAACACAGCAATCACTGTTTGGGGAAATTTTAAAGCTCCCATTTTAACTATTGGGCTGTCGAGAAAGTCTTTACGTTTCTTTTCGAAAGGTGATAATCTGAAGGAACAATGTCAGGAGAGTACGGTGGGTGCGGCAGGAGTTCCCACCTCAAATCGTCTATTGTGGAGCGAGATTTGCCGTATGTGGTCGGTTATTGTCGTGGAGGAGAATGAGTTTTCTCAATTGTAGTCGTTTTTCCTTGATTTCTTCATCGAGTTTTTTGAGCTGATCACTTTACAATAAAACATTAATAGTCTTATCAAGAAGTTTTCAATATATGAGTCCTTTGAGATGGCGCCTTCCCCTTTCCAATATTGAAATTCTGTTGTTGCGACTCTCTTGAATCCTTTCCAAATCTCTTATAGATAAAAAGAACTTATCGGCTTTTGCCTTTTATCATTTTTATCAAGATCTTGCCAAAAACGGAGAAGGGGTACTTATCGTTTTGAAAGCGATTTTCATCTTGTATAGCCTAGTGAATTGTCATCATTGGAAAGAGGAGAGATTTTCTTAAATCCGATTAGAAAATCTTGAGGAGAATGGAGATGAAAACGGGGAAAAGAAAAGGGAAAATATGAAGATAAGAAGGGGATTTAGGAAACGAAGATATTTGAAAGGGTAAAAAAGAGAGAAGCTTTCAAGAAGATCCACCACATCTTTCCACATCCACATCTTTCAAAATATAAGTAGATTTACCCTTTCAGCAGACTTAGAAGATTACCGATTTGCCAATCTTTCTTTCAATCTCCCTCCTGAATCACTTCAACAGTCTTATCGCCTTTTCAATGTTCAAATTCTGTTGTTGTAGCTCTCTTGAATCCTTTCCAAATCATTTTCTTATAGATAAACAACTTATCAGCTTTGCCAGCTCTTTGCTTGCCTTGCCTTTTATCATTTTTATCAAGATCTTGCAAAAGGACTTTCAATTTATCAGAAACTGAAAAGTTAAAACACAAAAAAGGGGTACTTATCGTTTTGAAAGAGATTTTTATCCCATATAGCCTAGTGAATTATCTGATTGTAAACATTCAACTACAAGAGAGATTTTTTAATTTTTTTTTCTTAAATCCGTTTAGAAAATCTTGAGGAGAATGGAGATGAGAATGGGGAGAAGAAGAGGAAGGAAAATTTGGAGATAAGAAGGGGATTTTGGAAAAGATATTTGAAAGGGTAAAAAAAGCTCTCAAGAAGGTACACAACATCTTTCAAAAGATAAGTAGAATCAGTACTGTTTTGTTTTTGCAAAAAAATACAAGTTGTGTATTCAGATCTAGGTTTGAAGTTTCTTTACCAAGAATTTTGACTTACCGGTATTCGCAAACAAAGCGAAGTGGGACAACGGAGGACATCCTCGAAGCTCAAATCGAGATTGTACGTGAAACAGCTCGTCGAACACTCTGATGTGTCCGCATTGCAGAAACTGAAAGAAAAGATAGATTGATAAACTAAAAGCCATTTCCAACAGTTCAACAGAGTTTTGAGCATCGAGTTCTTCTTAAACAAAACGATTGAAGACAACAAATTGCTTTCAAATATTTAATTCTTCAAAAACTTACGATTCCAATTGCAACAAGGCTTTCACAGTCTCCACATTCGGATCCACGTACGCCAAAGGAGAGCAATCGAAACGAACCGAGCCCTGCAAGTGCTGAATAGAAACAGTAAGTACAATAAGCAAGAAAGTAGACAATATAAACCATGTCAAACTACTAACCATGTCTAGGAAAGCTGTGACATTCTCGATTTCCTCTTTTGGTTCAGGACTACTTGAGTAGACTGAAGTTGAGGCAACAGAGTGCGGAGATTGAGGACTCATTCTTAAACAACAGCCTGCTCGCCGGGCAACGACTAAAAACGAAATTCGGCTTTTCAAGTTGAAGTGATCAATGATATAAAATAGATTGTCAACCTATCCTTCAGCTTCTGAACGTGTGCAACTTTCTTTCAACTTACCTAGGTACTTCATCTTTTCGACTACAACAGTTTTGAGGCTAACGTGGGCAAATAAACCGCCTACTCAAGATTCATTGCACCAGAAGTCGAGCGTTTCTCGAAAAACAAAGAACTCACTATTCGGAATGAGACCAGCTTTGAGGCATTGTTGATAGCGACAAGCCCGACAATCGTCTCTAGCTAAAAACTTTCAGCTAATAAGCTTATCTTTAAGTTAACTTAATTACCTGTTTAATTAACAATAGTTTAATAGTTTAATTACCTAACAATAAGCTCTATCTATTAAACTGAAAAAGCTTAAGAACTCACGAAAACTGCACTTTCCATCATTGAAACAACTGAATGTTGCATTTCGTGCCGTCGAGCGGAGGAAGAAGATTTTACAGGCACTGAAATCAATAAATGTTATATATTTATTGTATGATGTACAGGGTTACCAAGAATTATGAGATATGTGATGAGATAACCAAGAAAATTATTCAATGAAAACACTCTTAGGGGTAATTTTTGACGTTCTTTCTAACATCTCGAGTTTGGGAGATTTAAAGTTCTAGACAAGGTGACCAAGAATTACCGCAACAACGTCGTATTATGTTATGAGCCCCATTTCACTTTTTGCTTACCGGCTTTTAAGGTTTTTGTGTCTTTTTCTGATTTTATGATATGATTACTAACTTTCAATACATTAGTATTGTTGTTTTCAGAAATGGTGAAAGCGTCTCGACATCGACAATCGATCCTTGAGCTCAAGCGGCAGCGTGTTCAGGCGAGCGAGATCTCATAACGCCTGAATGTCCCCAGAAGCCTCGTTTCTCGAACCATTCAACATTATGAAACTCTGGACACAGTTTCCGATCGCCCTGGAAGAGGTGCAAAACGAACTACTCCGGCTAATGTCAAGAAAGTGCGCGATCGTCTAAGATTAAACCCTAACCAATCGGCTCGAGGAATGGCACAGAAAATGAGTCTGAAGAGAAGCTCCGTCAACACAATCATCAAGAAAAAGCTGAAAATGAAGCCGTACAAGAAGAACAAATCTCACTTACTATCAGCTGTTGCGAAGGGCAAGAGAAAAGACCCAACTTTTGCAACGGTTCAACGGAATCGATCACCACAACATCCTGTTCACCGATGAAAAGATATTTACCGTCGAGGGAATTCTCAAAAAGCAAAATGATCGAGTTTGGGCAAAATCTCAGCCAAATGTCACCGTATAGCGCAGTTCTCATCCTGTATCGGTGATGGTTTTTGCCGGGATAACCGCCAATGGAAAGACCCCATTGCTCTAGTTCTTGCGGTAAATGTAAATGCGGTCAATTATTTGGACTTGCTAAAGAAGGAGGTTTTTCCGTGGGCTCAACGCCACTTCAAAAATCGAATTTGGACTTATCAACAAGATGGTGCGCCGGCTCACAAGGCAAAGAAAGTGCAAGAGTTTTGTTCAAAGACCTTCCCGGACTTCATCTCATTTTCTGAGTGGGCCACCCAGCTCACCCGATCTTAACCCATTGGATTACTCAGTCTGGAGTGTTCTTGAAGCCAGGGCATGTGCAAAACCACATAAAAATATTGAAAGTTTGAAGAAGGCGCTCATCAAAGCATTGAATACCCTCGATGATGCCTATTAATCACGGTCAACGCGTTTCCCAAACGTTTGCAGGCCTGTCTGAGTGCCGATGAAGGCAAATTTGAATTTAATTCTTAATTTGTTACTGTTATATGTTGAATAAAGATATTAAAGTTAACATTTCGAGATCGGTTGCATATTTGGTTAAAAGCCAGGCCTTTTGCGGTAATTCTTGGTCACCCTGTACAGTCGAATCTCTGTATAACGATAGCCAAGGGAGCGGTTGTTACTATTGTTATATCCAATTTAAGATATTTAGCCAAATAAAACAAAGAAAAGAAAGAAATTTAGCTATTTATTGTATAATGTATTATCTTTTCTTAAAGAAATTTAGCTAAACTTACTTGCAAGCAATTGACCCGTAACATTTCCTGGCGTTTCTCTGACCACACACCAAACAAGAGAGCACCATTTTGAGAGGGGAAAGATAAGAGGAATTGAATAGAGAATCGATTTGTGGAAAAGTAGATTAGATGTCTGAAAATTATAAATAAGATATTCAGCTAAGAAGTCGAAACACTAATCAATCAAAATGAACAAATTAAACAGCTGAAACAGAATAAGTACTGCACTGTTCTTTGTAGTACTTTGTCCGAAACACCTCCTTTCTGGTGCACTGGGGTCTTCCGTTTGGCCAAACATCGTTAATTGAGTAAATAAACCGGTCATCAAGCCCAAGTTAACTGTGCCAGAAGGCGAGCGTTTATGCATAGCCCTAGAGAACACAAGGACACTAGTGTTTACCTCATTCCATCTTGTTGTTTGTAATAATACTCTCCAAAGAACAGAGTGCAGTTCTTATTCTTGTTTGTCGTAAAGTGCATTTACACGCCCAAAGTACAACAAAAGTTGATTTCTAGAGTTGCAAGAGAAAGGATTGCTTTATCCTTTATCCTAAGAGTGCATTTGCCCCCACTAAATAATGGAAGAGATTCACTAAATATTCTATCAAATATTCTATACCTGCAACAAAGTACAACAGAGCTCAATTTCTAGAGTCGCTGACAAGAGAAAGTTATTGCACAAAGATTGCTGAGTTCACTAATTATCCAATCAAAAAAGCACCGCGACAATCGAGGATACGGTAAGCTGAATTCTTAGTTAAACTCATCTTCCCTGCACTCATTTCAATTTTCAGTGACGGATTACTGTAATTTTGAAAAAAATAGCATTGCGGAGTGCAAATGAGCCGACTAAAGAAGCTATGGAGAAACTAAAATGAGGATGAGAGACATTCGAGACATAAAAGAGACTGCAGATTTTGCATGGTTCATATAAATGATTAGTGGAAGAGATTGGGGATGACAAGGAAATGCTCGACATTAGTGTACCAAAAGGTGAGCGTTTATGCGTAGCCCTAGAGAACACTCAAGACTAGCATTTGAATGCACCAGAAAGGGTGCATTTGCGAGCAAAAAGTACAACAGAAAGTCCACAAATAGAAAGAAGAAATGAAGCTGTGCCTACAGACTGGTTTATACTAAAGAATGGATATTTATCGTGAGTACAAGGGGTACTGTAACTGGGATACAACTTGAAAAATAGCTGTAATTTCAACAAAAATCTAATAACTTGCTAGTTGAATTGCAGTCAAAAGATACTGTAACCAAACTGCACTGTAACTGATATTGTAAAGAGCTCAAAATTCAAAGTAGCACAAAGCCAAAGGTGAAAAACTACAGCTTCAACCAAGTAGCAGAATTTTTTCACAAAATCTCCTCAAATCTGGGCAGAGCTGAGAAAAAATGAAGGAAATGAGAAGACGGTCGATCGAAAGTTTTTTTCCGCCTTCAACCTGAAAGAGAAACAGATTGGTGAAGGGATTTGAGGAAGAGATTCGAAAGGGGTACGGTAGCCAGTTTGGAACAATGTCTAGAGAAACAAAGCATCATCAAAGTCAACATTTGATTCGTCTACTGATTCTGAACGCATAATTATAAGTCAAAAAAGATTTGTAGATTGCAGTCTTACACTGATAAAGGATTATAAATGAAGATTCCCGTTTGATTTCCCGAAAAAACTCAAATTTACAGCTGAATATTTGTTAGCATCTATAAAGGAAAAAGAAATCCGTGTAAATGATCGGCGAGGTGCTTTTTGTGTGGCCGAGCAATCGCTTGCGATCTTCGATCGATAACCGTTCCCTTTTGGAGTCGGTAAAGACTTCAGATATTAGCTTGGTAAATATGAAAGTTTGTTTTACTTGATCGTTTTTAACATAACAGAAAAATTTGTTTAAACACTTTCAAAATCAAATCTATTCACCACAAGAATTCAATAACTTCTTTCCAACGTCGCCCCAAATCACGAATGTCGTCCCCATAAAATTCAAGATTTTTGGAGGCAAAATAGTTGGCAACCCATTTTTCGATGTCCTGCTTTTGCTTGAACTGCTTTCAGAAACCGTTTGTTTCATAGACCGAAAAATATGGTAATCCGATGGGGCTAGGTCAGGGCTGTATGGTGGGTGAGGGAAGAAGTTTCCATCCCAACTTATCGATCTTTTCGTGGGCGATCTTTGAAAGGTACGGCCTAGCATTGTCGTAAAGAAATCTGACCTTTTGATGGATCGATCCGCTTTTTCCTCAGTGCTCGATCGATTCGACCCAGTTGTTCTGCATAAAGTCTTCTATCAACAGTATCGCCTTTATCTAATACTTCAAAATAAACCAATCCCTTAGTATTCCACCACACACAGAGCATAACCTTCTTCCCGTGTATCGGAGGCTTCGGGATTGAATGAGGGGTCTGCTTCGAACTCAGCCACTGTCCATGGAGTTGAATATTTTCATACGGAAGCCAAGTCCCCAAGTCTCAGATGTCAAAATACTTCCAAAAGTCACGATGGTGAGCTTTGCGTAGAAGAAAAGAGCTCAGGGTGACTCGTATAGCTTTGTGGGCATCAGTGAGGTCGTGGGGAAGCCATTTCCCGCTTCGATATGATTTCCCAAGAACGTGTAAATGGTCTTCAATGGTAAAATGAGTGCATCCGAACTTTTCTGCTAATTTTCTACACTTTTGCGATGGATCCAAGTCGACCTCGTTCAGTAACAGCTGATCGTCCAAAGTAATGGGTGGCTTTCCATGTGGTGCATCTTCCAATGACCCGTTTCCCGTTTTGAAGCGATCTTACCAAACACAACATTGTTTGTAAGTAAGAGCAGCTTCTCCAAAAACAGTTCAAATGTTCTGATGGCATTCCGTAGCTTTCTTGTTTAACTTGAATTCAAAGAATATGGCAGCCCTGATTTTAGATTTTTGGTCCTCGATCTTTTTCGAGCTGAAACAATACAAATATTATTCAAAACAAAAACGTTTTTGCAAAAAAAAACATAAGCACATTTTGACATATTATTGAGAAAAATCCTAGACAGCGAATGTTCTTC